TCTCACACACACACACTCACTCTCACACACACACTCACTCTCACTCACACTCACACACTCTCTCACACTCACTCACACACTCTCTCACACACTCACTCACTCTCACTCACTCACTCACTCACTCTCTCACACACACACACACTCTCACACACACACTCACACTCTCACTCACTCACACACACACTCACTCACACACTCACTCACTCACACACTCACTCTCACACACACACACACTCACTCACTCACACACTCTCACTCACTCACACATTCACTCTCTCACACACACTCACTCACACACTCACTTTCTCACACACACACACTCACTCACTCACACAGAGAGATAAACTCACATCCATCCGTGTCCTCCTGCGAGTCCTGCAGCAGAGAGAGATCTGGAAAACACAACACAATCTGTGTGTGTGAGGGAGAGAGACAGTGTGTTTAGTCATGTGTTTTAATTGTATTGCAGGTTTGTGAAGTTTTCCATGCCAAGCATCCCTGATTTTGAGACCCTGTTTTCCCAAGTCCAACTCTTCATCAGCACCTGCAATGGAGAGCACATCCGATACGCCACAGACACATGTAAGAATAAACATAAACGCATTCTTTTCATTGTGCTGGTTATAATCTGTGCTAATATGTTGTGTTTTATTCCTGCGTACAGTTGCTGGTCTGTGCCACCAGTTGACAACCGCCCTTGTAGAAAGAAAACAGGCAAGTGTCTCTTGATCATTTTGGAGTTGTTACCTTTACATGATAAAGCTGACATTAAGTTCTCTTTTACTTTACAGCCTTTGCGTGGAATAAGTATAATTAAACAGGCCATAGACAAGATGCAGATGAACACAAACCAGCTTACCTCAGTGCATGCAGACCTGTGTCAGGTGAGTCAACTATTAGATTTAAGAGCTGTGAAAAACCGGGAGGATGTCATTTGGTGTCCTTAAATATTTATTGCGTTGTTACAGGTAATTAAAGCAATAGTTCACCCAAAAATTTGCTGAAAACGTACTCGCACTCAGGCCATCTGAGATGTAGATGAGTTTGTTTCTTCATCAGGTTTGGAGAAATGTAGCACTGCATCAGTGTCTCATCAATGGATGCTCTGCAGTGAATGGGTGCCGTCAGAATGAGAGTCCAAACAGCGGATAAAAACATCACAATAATCCACAGCACTCCAATCCATCAGTTAACATCTGGAGAAGACAAAAGCTGAAACAAATCCAGCATTAACACGTTTTTAACTAAAATACATGATCCATAATCACGCTTCCTCCAGTGAAAAAGTGGTCTGAATCAGGAGAGAAATCTGCACCGTTTGCAAGCCAAAACAGCTCTAAACAAATATGTGGCTGGATTTTGATGTGAGAGACTACAGGAGATGCACTTTTCCACTGGAGGAAGTGCTATTATTTATTATGGACTCCTATATTAGCCCTAAGCAACAGTTTGAAGTTAAAAACTTCTTAGTGACTGATTTGTTTCTTAAAAACACTCAGCTTTTGTCTTCTCCAGATGTTAACTGATGGACTGGAGTGCTGTGGATTATTGTGATGTTTTTATCAGCTGTTTGGACTCTCAATCTGATGGCACCCATTCACTGCAGAGGATCTTGTAAGCAACTACACAGTTGCTATAACACTGTATTATTTGAAAATAATTGTGTTATTTTATATAGAAATAAATAATGAGGTGAATCTTGTGTAGTACCAGGAAATCCCCTCAAAATATTAACGAATAAATATTGAAAATGTAGCCCAAAAGTCTTTTGACCACAAATGTGATCCCAGAGGCTGAAACGGTCTTGATCGTTTGATGTTTATTGTGTAACTAATGCTTTGGCCCTATGTTTACAGTTATGCCTCTTAGCAAAGTGCTTCAAACCTGCAGTCCCGTTCCTGGAGTTAGACATGATGGATATTTGCAAGGAGAACGGAGCCTTTGACGCAAAGCACTTTCTATGTTTTTACTACTATGGAGGCATGATCTACACTGGTCTGAAGAACTTTGAACGGGCGCTGTATTTTTTTGAACAGGTATTTATTTTTTTTGTACAGTTTTACATATGCTAATGCTGAGACAGTATAGCTAAAATCTCTATATGCTGGCCTTTTGGTGATTTTCAATATCTGTTCAAAATTCTATATATATGTCATTTTTATTTATTTATTTATTTTTTAAAATAATTTTACTAAACCGCAGTTACAGCCTAGTATATTCCAAATGTTTAATGTAGAGGGTCTCTATAAGAAGTTGAGGGTTGCTATATTTCTCCTCCCAATTCATAAATCAACATGTCATCTCATCAGTCACATGGTCCGAATTTTCCCGCTCTTGCAGAGTATAATTTTGGACATGATTTCTATAACAAGAATATGATCAATTTGACAATTGATTGGAAGAAACGTTTCAAGCAAGAAGATTCAAACACACGCATACTAAATGAATATGAACCCTTAAGCTATTCGATAGTTATTAAAAAGACCTACAGAATAAGTGATTAGAACATGATAGTCAAATGTGTGGGTTACAAACATGATATGGAGTTAAGCAATGGACTGATATTCATTTAAAAGTCCTTTTGAGTACATTTTGGTGCATCTGTAAAAGACCCTCAAATCATAAAAATCTACTTAAAAATAATCTAGGCATGTTATTCACGAAATGAACATTAACATTTAATCATTTTAAGTTTTATGCATCACAATACATGGTAAAAAATAGGGTTGCAAAAAGGTGGAAAATTTCCAGTAAATTTCGGGAACATTGCAAAAATTTTGGAAACTTTCCAGGATTTTTTTTTTTATACTCCAGGGATTTTTGGAAAGTGTCCGGAAATGTTCCACCCCTTTGCAACCCTAGTAGTAAACAACAGTATTTACCCACATACTAAATCATTTTATTACATGCCATATCATTAATTGATGGCACTAATGAATCAGAATTGATTCATGGAGATGAACTGATTCACAAAAATGAATCAAATACTCTTAATGAAACCCTAAACTAGGCATGTTTTCAGTAAATGAACACTAATATTTAATCATTTTGAGTTTTATGCATCAAAATACATGGTATTAAACAACATTTACCAACATACTAAAACATTTGACTGCATCAAAAAGATTTGATTTGATTAAATATCATTAAGTGGTAGCACTAATGAATCAGAATTGATTCACTGAGATGAAATGATTCACGAAAATGAATCAAATTCTGTTTTTGCTGTTCAAGTCTTAATGACCAAATAAAAAGCACATCAAAATCATTGTAATATTCACAATTAATATTTGACATTATGAATGCATCTGGTTTATATCTATTGAATAAGCATGCATTTTGTG